ATTAGGTGAATTATTTATTTATTTATATCAAATGTCAGGCGTTTTGACGGTTATCATTAGCCCTTTAGTTGACTTCAGGCTTCACAGAGAGGGAGAAACATCAAAGGGAGAAAAATTCGAGAGGAGGAGCAGAAGAGTGATTCAAAGACGTAAAAGAGACAAAGGTAGAAAAATGAGGTGAGCACTATGGAAGTAGTCGAATATGACATACTGTGGGGTGATGGTAGTTTGAAGTGAGAAGTCAACTGCCGGTTAATAGACTTTTTGCCGTATGAGTATACGTTGCCCAGGGTGCACCACGTGGAGGTAAGTCTATCGCGCACTTGTTGTTAATTCAGATAACCAGAGAAAGGAACGCAACTACTTGAATCTATATTTTATATCTTAAATCTGCTGTTGAATTCAATGCTTTTGTCTGATTTACTCTTCCATTTTAGTGGTGAAAGTGGTGCAGGCAAGACTGAAAGCACCAAGCTTCTACTTCAGTTCATCACGGCGATTAGTGGAGGCGATTCCAATGTCGGCAGACGTATCCTCGATTCAAATCCCATCATGGAAGGTATGTAAATTCAATAATGCCAAAATATAAGTATATACATTTCATTAAAGATCTATTTATTTCCAACAGCCTTTGGAAACGCCAAGACTCTCAGGAATGACAACTCCTCTCGATTTGGCAAATATGTTGACATCCATTTCGATAGAAAATCAGGCAAGATTGTGAGCGCAAGAATCGAGCAGTACCTGCTTGAGAAGTCTCGCATAGTTCGACAAGCCATAGGTGAACGAAACTTTCACGCTTTCTACTGCATGCTTGCTGGTATGCCTTCTCAGGATAAACATCGACTCGGACTCAAAGATGCTCGATTCTACAACTACCTATGCCAGGTTTGTTCACTCTACCAATTTATTAAATTCTAATATCCATTTAAGTTCCGCGGCCCTTAATTTCTGATTCCAGGACTCAGAATCACCAATTGACAATCCAAATGATGCAGTAAACTTTGAAACCATTGTTGCAACTATGCGACACTTGGAGTTTGCTGACAATGAAGTCGAAGAAATTTGGAACCTCCTTGCTGCCCTGCTTCATCTCGGCAATATTTCTTTTTGTGAAGATCTTCATGAAAGTACTGATGCCAGCAAAGTTAAGGATACACATCGATCCGAACTTAGATATGCTTCAAACCTCCTTGGGGTTAGCTTATTAAACGTAAATATGTTCAAAAACGTGAATATTAATTATAGTTTCCCTATTTCTGATATTTAGATGAGCCATGTTTGTCTGGAGAAAGCAATGACTACAAAGAGAATTCAGACAGCTGGAGAATGTGTAGTGGCCCAGTTTCTACCATCGAATGCTTATACTGTACGAGATGCATTTGTGAAGACCATTTATGATCACCTCTTCCGCTGGATGGTTGAGAAGATTAACGAAGCCATCTATAAGCCAATCTTTAAGGAAGACACGAGAGTGGTTGATCGTCATACATCAGAGCATTGGGGTTCAAGTAGTGGAAGTTCTTGTAGTGGATTTTTCACTCGATCGAATACATGGCCTAATTCTCCCAATCCTCAATCGTCTTCATCATCGTTTAATATCACCTCAAATATTGGATTCAGCTCTTCTGAATCGGGAGTTGACTTACATCCTAACACCCAGTCTTCAGCGGCTGAAAATGGACGTCTGTCAATTGGTGTACTGGATATTTTTGGATTTGAGAATTTCTCCTCAAATAGGTATATTTTTCCTTAAGCAGTCCACATCTAAACTTTGACGACGTTTTCAAGTTATTTCAGTAGTCAAAATGGTCACTATAAACTGACAATATCGAAAGCTAATCCACATTTTTGCAGTCATGAGACTGAAATAATTCGCAACATTTAAGTAATCACACAATTAGTATTTGCCTATCTGTTATAAACAACCTTCGAGTTTCGAATTCCCCCCTCGTGGCACAAATGAGTCCTGAACATTTATTTAATTCCATAAAATTGAGTTAATTGATATAAAAAGCAGACAATTATTTGACTAATTCAATAGCAACATATTGACAAGTAGACACTTTAGGCAGACTTAAGCTAAAATAATTTTTAACTTCAATCCAGTGTCAAGTGTACTTATGACTATCAAAGAACGAACCCAACCATAATAGGCAAAATTATTCAGTCTACAATAAATCATTTATGTTGAAATTGTTATATTTCAACTGTTTTGATAATTTACGAAACTTCTATCATAAAATTCTTAATTTTGTTATTTTAAGAGAAAAGTTAATGTTCAGCGCGCCCTTAAACTTACTATTTAGTGGTGAAGAAATTGTTCCCAAGATGATTACAAGGTGGATATTTAAATCCTAGAAAGAATAAAGTGTTATAATTAGGAGTAAAATTCAATCGAAAACTGAAAGCGAATCCAGTAATGGTACAAATTTGGTATCAACTTCAAAAAATAGCACATATTTAACAATTTTAAATGTTCTTTTACATTTTTTGTTGTGAGGACAGAGTTATTAGCCCTCCGTTTGAAAATCGGATTTCTCTACGCAAAGAAGTGGGATCAATAAGGTGTATTTTGCACAATTCCAATTATAAAAACTAGCTAAAAATCTCCAAAATTTAGTTAAATCTCATTACTGCGACCTTAAAGAACATCAATTTTACCCTAATTCTGGAGGACTTTTTCCACTGAGCTGATACATCCCAAGCAACTCTCTTCCTCCCCCTCTCTCTTAGGCACAAATCCCTCTATGAATCTAACAACTTAATTTAATATAATCAAATTATCTCCCATTTACAATAAAATTTCCTTTTTTAATTCATTCCCGAAATAATGTAATTGCGCACATTTGTCGGGATTGATTTAGTCTCCGAAAAAAAAATTTTAAATTAAAAAACCGGCGAAGCTCATTGTCTGATTAAATATTTGTCATTTTTTCCCGGGTTAGTTTTGAACAACTCTGTATAAACTACGCCAACGAGAATATTCAACAGTACTTTGTGAGGCATATTTTCAAGTTGGAACAGGATGAGTACTTGGCAGAAGGAATCAACTGGACTCACATTAACTTCCGAGATAACCAAGATGTCCTGGATTTGATCGCGCATCAACCCCTGAATGTTCTAGCCCTTGTTGACGAAGAAAGTAGATTTCCAAAAGGCTCTGATACCAGTTTCTTGAGCAAACTTAATGCTCGACACGGAGAGGCAAATAATTATATTCGACCCCTATCGACGGTTGAAACGGTAGGTTGAAGTTTAAACGGAATATACCTTAGGTCATAACACTTTGCTATTTAGTGATATTTTTATTTGTTTTTTTGTAGAGATTTGGAATAGTTCACTTTGCTGGGCCAGTGTACTACAATGTGGAAGGTTTTCTAGAAAAAAATCGAGATACTTTTAATCATGATCTATTGGATGTTATCAGCAAGTCCAATAATGACTTCCTTCGGAAGTTGTTTGAAAAACGGTTTAATTTGGTTAGTTTGATTTTGCTTTCTTCATTTTTCAGTTCATTAGCAATAGAATGTATTTCCAGACTTTTTTATTAAAAAAATGATTTTCAAACTTTGAAATAATCGTTCTTGGATAGATCATTTCCTCACTTAGGGGTATTCTCTTTTCTTTTAATGAAGGTAATCTCATTTTGGAACAAAAAAGTATTTCTATTATCCTAGAGCAGTATCTATTATCTTTTGATGAAAAAAAGTGTTGCAATTTCTTAACTTAAAATGAGTGCGAAAATTTAATTCGAATCACCTTAGCATGTACGTTTGCAATATTTGCTCGAGTAAAGGTGTACTTTCATCAAAATTTGCAATATTAAAATTACTTACAGGTTATGTTTGTCATAAGTTGGTAAAAATCTGTAGCATTCATTCAGTTGAAGTATATTGAAGACTAATAACATGTCAAAATAAGCCTAGTGTGACAAAGTGATTTATACCTGCTAATGAGAACCTTAAATAGACGGGATCATCAAGTGCTTTCGAAGTAGACAAACAGCGCATGGAAGTCAATGTACTTCCCCTCAGTTAAAAGTGTCGTCGTTTTTGGGTCAGCATGAAATTTATTTGATAATTAAATTCCAATTTTTTGGTTTTAGGAATCAATAATACATTTCCAGTCCCATGAAAGAGATTTACAATGTAGAAGAAATTCCCAGCTTCTCAAATTTTAAAGATTTAGAGAATTAGTTTTGTATTAATTTTACCTTTTTCATGTTGTATTTTGTGAATCTGAGATCCGCCATTGATCGATTTCGATTAAGTGACTGACGGTCAAACAAAGCGTTCTCAACCACAGAGTGTAGATAATTCACTTTTCTTTAAATATTCGATGGAGTAGCTTTTCCTCAGGGATTTTAAAATTTTATAAGTACGCTTTTTTGTTTTACTTGACCATAAATTTTTTCCTTACATGAAAAAACTATTTACCAATAATTTATATGAATAAATATTTATTCTCTTTTGAAAGAGAATCAGTAAATGAGAACTCCTTTTAAGGGAATTGTTTCAAGGGAAAGCACTTCTTTTGTACATAAATTACATCCTTTTATCAAAGTGAGGTGAATATTTGAGGGTAATCTGTTAGAATGATACTCAAATATCTTTTGGGGTACGCTAAAATTTCAATGGTTTTAAAGACAATTTAGTAAATTAGCCTTGGAATCAGTTGATTATTTTTAGTACTGAGTTTCAAGGTTTATTTTGAGAAAAAGAGACTTGATTGATATCAATTGTATTTTTATGGTTTCCAATTTATTAAAATGAGTCAACTACCGGAAATATTATCATTCCACAGACGTAAATGTTAATATAAATGAAGTTATTTGACACTTTGACAATTGACTTAATTTTAATTTCCTATTATTCTAGAATGAAAATCGTTCTCGATCTCTAACTCTCGGAACGCAGTTTAAGAAGTCACTGGAACGACTCATGTCAATAATAAACAGTTGCCATCCATTTTTCGTTCGTTGCATCAAGCCCAATGAGTTCAAACTGCCCAAATGCTTCGATCGAAATCTCTGTGTTCGTCAGCTACGCTATGCGGGTATGATGGAGACCATTCAGATCCGTAGTCTGGGCTATCCAATTCGCTATGAATTCGCTGACTTTGTAAATCGTTTTCACATGTTACTCAAACTCCGTGCCGGCGGTGGTGTCAATCAATTCAATCAAATGCGTCTTACGAGGTCACAGAATTTGGTAGAAGAAATCTGTCGAACTGCATTTGCCTCAGACGACCTCACATATGCTATCGGCTCTACTAAGGTCTTTTTACGAGTAAGTGAACAGGCCAACCTTATTTGCGCAAATAATCTTATGTTGCGAAGTTACTACAACCAGTTTGCCACGTCAGCTAACCCTAATTAGGTGTGAATTGTAAGGTCTTCGTTTCATTTTGGACTTAATTTTCAAATGAGACAACTGATGATGAGCCTCTGGTACTGATAACTTTTTACTCTGCCTGACCATCTTCAGTCTGATTGTCTTATTTACACGAGCTTGCTTTCACTTGAGTTTTTTCCTCTTTAACTATCATTAAACTTAAAGTTCCAAAAGCTGAGTAGTTATATAGCCACCCTGATTATTATTCACAAAATATTTGCGCCTCCTATCTAGTCATTCCCGTTTTAGCGACTTTATTGCATAATAGACTGCGTTGTAAATAGCTTTCGAATTGGGTGTTTACTGGATGAAATTGATGAGATGAAAAATAAGTTGTCTGAAAGTATGAACACCTTTTATTACGTGAGGTGGGAGGGGGGTGGGGGTGGGGTTATGAACCTTATAAACACCAGAAAGTTATTCATATGCATTCTGATCAAGTTATCTGAGCCTGAAGATGGTAAGAAGAAAGAGAACGAAGTTTGAGAAAAACGTACCTGTTAAGCAATAAGTGTTTGGGAGTTAAAGAACACACGTTCAGTGAATATTTATTTATATTTATTTATTTCAAATGGCAGGCGTTTTGATAGCTATCATTAGCCATTTAGCTGACTTCGGGCTTCACAGAGGGAAGGTTCATCAAAGTAGCAGAAAGTCGAGGGGCGGGGAACAGAAGAGCGATTCACAGTTGTAAAAGAGGCAGACAGACACAAATGTAGGGAAAAAGGTAAGATGAGCACTGTGAAGGGGTCGAATATGACAAGCAGTTGGGCCATGGTATTTTGAAGTCAGAAGTCAAATGCCGGTTAATAGACTTTTTTGCCGTATGAGTAAACGTTGCCCAGGGTGCACCACG